GCGGGAGTCGTGGTCGAGGCGAGTGCTGTGAGCGGGTAACGTTTCACTGTTGGGTGCCGATGGCGGGAATGGTATTGTACGCGGTAAAGCAGGGGCGCAAAGTAAGGAAAATGAATTTTCCTTACAACCATCAAGCATGTTCACAGCTCGTTTTCCTGAGTATACTCACTGATTACAATTAGCACATTTGTTTCGATTTAGCTACAATCACCTTCGTGAAGGCTCGCTTGCGCTCGTTTGGAATGTCGAGGGCCAGTTGACCCGTTTAGCAGAAACGAACCTAGGGCATGGGGTTCGACGACAAGCGCAATTGAATCGAGTGGTGTGGCGATGGAGGGCTGCATGGTGGATGGAGAGTTGTTTATCGCTGTGGCGCCCTCCCCAGCTTGGTGGAAAACGATTTACCGGGCATATTCGGCAGCACGCAATGAAATCTCTCAACACTCGCTCCAATGGTATGGAGTGGGCATCACGCAATCCAGGAAGCCCCTCCAACGCACGGGCAGTTCCGAATTTCAATTTCGCGTGGTAAAGGAAGCAAGCATGAAAGGTGAATGGTGGTTCACCACTGCCAGTGCCACCTGGAGATTCGAAAATGTTATAGCGGGAACCACACACCTCTTCCATCCATCCATCCCGTCCCCTTTTATGATTGATGAGTGCAGAATCGTTCTCAACTCACCTTGACGTTGTGTTCCCTTCCTGACAACCAACCCATCACTATCTTCTCTGGCCAAGGGTTTCTAATTTCCTCCGTAGCCTCAAACTTACAATCAGCTGTTTTAGTATTTGCTTCTGTGGCTGCTTCCGCTGCCTATCGCAAGCATAATCTGCCTTTGCCTGCTCGACTGTCAATAGATCTGGTCGCTGGGTTTGTCAGCGTTGCCGTTTAGAAAGCTGTCGGCCCACCCATCCAAGGTGGAGACTTCCAAGTTCCAGTGTTTTTTTATGTCTGTTGACACCTTCGCTGTTCTCAGGTCGGCAGGCCTGCCCGCAGAGTATTTTCCTACGACAAGGAAACGGCATGCTGGTTCTCCTCCGAGAAAGAAGGAGCTGATCTCATACACCTCTGTTTCGGTTGTTCCTAAAAAGCGTTACCAGCTGCGTGGTGGTTCCGTGCGGTGCTTGCTGCCTGCTTCTTAATCATCCACTCGTCGAGTTCTTTAATCGTTAAGTGAAACGTCATCATGGCTCTCGTTAACATCGGTCAGGACAACAAGGACGATGGCTTCTACCGGTACAAGATGCCCAAGCTGATTACGAAGATCGAGGGACGTGGTAACGGCATTAAGACCAATGTTGTGAACATGGTCGATGTTGCCAAGGCTCTTGCACGTCCTCCTGCGTACACCACCAAGTACTTCGGTTGCGTGCTGGGAGCGCAGTCGAAGTTTGACGCGAAGACGGGCACTTCTACCGTGAACGGCGCGCACGACACCACGAAGCTGGTTCAGCTCCTTGAAGGTTTCATCAAGAAGTACGTTCAGTGTTACGGCTGCAGCAATCCGGAAACTGAGGTCATCATCACCAAGAACCAGATGATCACCCTTAAGTGTGCTGCATGTGGTTTTGTCTCGGATGTCGACATGCGGGACAAGCTGACCACCTTCATCCTCAACAATCCCCCGGAAGTTAAGAAGAAGGCATCGAAGACCATGAGACGTGCGGAGAAGGAACGCCTGAAAGCTGGTGAAGCTCTTGACGACGAGAAGAAATCCAAGGGCAAGAAATCTAAGGACGGAGAGAAGAACTCGACGAAAAAGAGCTCTAAGAAGAAGTCCGAGGATGACGAGAAGCTGGAATCTCCGGCTTCGAGCAACAAGGATGAGGAGGAAGACGATGATGACGACGTCGAGTGGCAGACTGACACGTCGGCTGAGGCAGCGAAGAAACGTATTCAGGAGCAGCTGAGTGCGGCGACGGCCGAGATGGTGATGGTGTCTACTGAGGAAAAGGAGGTGAAGAGTCCTCAGCAGAACGGCCACGTGTCGAAGACGAATGGCAAGGTCGAGGTCGAGGAAAAGCCTGTGGATCCGCATCAGGTCCTGGTTTCCGAGCTGAGCGATTACATCAAGACGCACAAGCTGGCCGAGGTAGCCAACCATGTTCTCAAGATGACGGTTACCAAGGATCTTCTTGCTGCGCTGATCGAGGCCATGATGCACGGGATCTCCAAGGGCTTCACGAAGGAGTTCGTCAAGAAGAAGGCTGTGTTCGCCGCCATCGTTAATGAGGACGAGGAGAAGCAGAAGCTGCTTCTGTTTGCTATGGAGTTTTTCTTCGCTGTCAAGGCGGGAGATGCTGGCAAGGAGATTGCCCTTGTCTTAAAGGTGAGAACTCGTTTCATTCACTATTGTTAGTGCTGGAACTCGTCTGGTGATTTTCATTTGGGCATTGCCTCATCTGTCGTGTTTTTTTTCAGGCTCTGTACGATGAGGATATTCTGGAAGAGGATGTCATCCTGGAGTGGCACGAGAAGGGAGGAAATGATTTGCTTGACAAGGAACAGGCAGCAAGTGTTCGTAAGCTGGCTGAGCCATTCGTGAAGTGGCTGAAGGAGGCAGAGGCTGATGATGATGAAGATGAGTAGATGGGCTGTGATGTGGACATATGGTAGATGTGGATAACTTTGTGTGGTATCAATGCTGTTATGGAGTGCGTCCTCTGCTATTCTGGTGTATTTTATTACTTGGTTGAACTAACCAAACAGTGGGCTCTCTAAGGAGATCTCTACTGTCTCTACCTATCCTGTCAGCCATAAGATGCGTATCAGGACTAGTTTCTGTGATGGGCCCGTCGCCATTCTTCATAACGCTCTTTCTGAGTCAAAGCTCAACGGATTATTCTTTATAATGTATACACCGATTATGCAACAGAAAGGGACGTTCGCAAGGAGTCAGCGCAACATGAGCCAACACAGTCACCCATGGCAGCCATCGGGCCACACAACCTCAGCACGCGCCTGACTCGCCAGCATTGTTGCGGAGACAGCGAGAAGGGCGGAAAGCAGGCGGAGCTATTCCGCTCTGGCTCCCCCAACCCCCTGCAAAACCGAGATTCGCAAGGGGCACATGGCGAGCGGCTATTGACTGGCGGTCCTCGCCTTGAGCCTACTTCGCGTAGGACCACTCGACGATTCGTCAGCCAACCCCAGGGTCCTTCCTTATTCCGACGACCCCGCGCAACACAGAAATCTACAGTGCGCTTGGAACACACCTCTGTCCGCTTGCGCAAAAATCTTGTTTCATCAGTTCAGTACATTACAGAGTGCTGCTGCTCTACCTGCCCAACTTGCGTTCAGTGCGACATTCTCGCGAGTTTTATTTTATTCGTCCGTGTTCCCTTCAAATCCCTTCCCTCTCTCTCGCCCTCATTCTCCATTCCAGCAGCAGAACACCGCAGGACCACATCTCAGGCTCAGCTTGCCAATGGTATCAGTAAAACCAGTGCAGTTTGCCGTACGATTTCCGTAATTGTGGTAGCTGTGGTGACGGGATTAGGCGGTGGTGACGAAGCCGTTAACGATCCTCTACGGTGCTCGCGTGGGCTTCGGCTGCTCCACGCTCAACGTCTCACCAGACCTAATCTTATTCCGCGTTCCATCCCGACCATTGCCTTACATTCCTATCGGAGCTCCTGGCGCCGCATGTTGACATCTGACGTCTCGCTGCCTCGTAGCCCGCCGTCGGTCCTGCTTCCGTGCACTCAACAACCGCATCGACATCAGAACTAGTTTAAATTCCGGATCTTGCGATCTCGAGCTTCGAGACAGCTTGTCACGTGCAGGATCCTTCTGCCGCCTGGTCACCACCTGGTCACCATCTGGTTACCACCTGGTTACCACCTAGTTACCGCGCCGTCCAGCCTTGCGGCCTTCATGGATGACCGCAAGTCGAAAACCAAGTGCGTGCTTTTTCCCACTTACTTCTTGCTCGCATCCCCTCAACTCTTCCCTCAACTCTTTGATCGCTCGCGTCATCTCCTTTCTAGCTAAAGCTCCACAATTTCTTCTTTCCACCCTCCCACTCGCTCTATCTCGAACTCGTCCCAAGGTATTCCTGTTCTTGCCTCGGATCTGGCATTTCTTACCGTTGCTGTCGACGATCAATAAGAGCAGACTCGATTCCGGACCCCTTCTGGTGCCGCATTGTTGTCCACAGCGCGTATTTCTACCGCATATTTTAGGGCATGCGGGGACTCGCACGCGGAGCGCGTCTTAGGGCACATTTTAGGGCATGCGCCTTGGATACTAATCTCATCCATCTTGACCAGTGCTATGTCTAGGTCCTGCCGGTGTCTCGTTAGAGTGGGCGCGTTACGATCAGCAGCGGGAGAAGTATTGTTTGGGCGTAGGAGCAGGGTGAGATAGTTGCGGTCGTTACGCGTGTGTTTCAAGTGCGGCGATCGATTTCGTTGCGCGGATGCGCCGTGAGCATGCGCAGGAGTAACTGCCGACGATAGGAAAGCACGCGCCACACCCGCACGCACGGACACCTGCATGCAAGCACGCACGCACTCTCCGTAGATGCATGCAGCTGGCAGCCGCCTGTGCATCTGGTGCAACTAAACGCTGCGTCTGGGATTTCTCCACCTCATCTCGCGCTCGCGTCGCTTACTGTGCCCCTTTCATGGTTCTGCCCCTCGCATTGTTCTGCTCCTCGCATGGCATTGCCCGTCGAATGGCGTTGCCCGTCGCATGGCATTGCCCGTCGCATGGCACTGCCCGTCGCATGGCATTGCCCGTCGCATGGCACTGCCCGTCGCATGGCATTGCCCGTCGCATGGCACTACTGCGCATCTGCACCAGTCTGTCGCACGTTCCTCCTTCGCGTACCTCATTCTCGTGCCTAATCCCCGTGCGAATGCGCTTCTTATTCCCCTCTCCCTTTCCCCCTCCCCACCCCTCCTTTCCCCCACTGTCACCCCCCGCTTCAATCTCCCTCCACCTCCTTCACTCCCCCGCACCGGTTCCCTTACTCTTCCTCAATGCGCAACGCGCTATGCGCCCCGTCAGGACCGGCAAGGCGGCGCCAGCGGGTAATAGCGGCGCCAACGGCTCAGGATCGGGAATGGGCTCTGCTGCAGAGGCCCCCTCCGAGATGACGTGAGTGCGGTTGAGTTCTGTCCGGTACGGTTGGGGGTGTCTCGGGACGCGTCAAGGCGCTCTCTTGGGAACAGCGTGGTGGGATGGCGGGTGATCCGACGTGGCTGTTATGCCTGTGCTTGGGAGAGAGAGCGGGACGAGTGAGAAGAATGGTTGTTGGTGTGAGTGGGATTGATTGAGTAAAATACCCAGCAGCAGCAGCAGTATCGCGCCCGCGCAATCTTGATAACCCTGGCACTGCGTCAGTGAGGAGATCTTGAAAACATTTCTTGAAAATATTTCATGGACGTTTTATCATGCTCGAACGAAACCCGCCATTTCCTTTCCCGCATGCTGCACCCTGCTCCTTCGCTCGAACCTATTAGAGGATCACGAGAACATGTCAAAATGTTGTCATCCCATGGCTCTTGCTGACTGCCCCAGCCTCCTCCCTCACCCCCTGCTCTCATCCATCCCTTCCCTCACTCGCTCCTCTTATTCCTTCCCTCCTCCACTGCCTTCAACCCTCCCCCTTTCCCCCGCAGGCGGCGGGATGCCCTTCCGCGCCCAGGCCTCTATTTTTTAGGCGCCTGAAAAATACACTCCCTTCCCCTTTCCCCCTATTCCCCCCTTTCCCCCCATTCCCCCCCTTCTCCCCCTTCCTCCAGGCGGCGGGACGTATTGGACATAGTGCGGAAGCACTCCGACGCCCTTCCGCGCCCAGGCCTTCATTTTCTGAAGCGCCCCAAAAATACACTCCCTTCCCCCTTCCCCCCATTTCCCCCCTTCTCCCCCTTCCTCCAGGCGGCGGGACGTATTGGACATAGTGCGGAAGCACTCCGACGCCCTTCCGCGCCCAGGCCTCTATTTTTTAGGCGCCTGAAGAATACACTCCCTTCCCCCTTCCCCCCATTTCCCCCCTTCCCCCAGGCGGCGGGACGTATTGGACATAGTGCGGAAGCACTCTGACGCCCTTCCGCGCCCAGGCGCAGCACAACCAGGCGCTGGCCCCTCCCCCGCGCAGCAGGGCGCGCAGGGCGCGCAGGGGGCGCAAGGGGCGCAGGGGGCGCAGGGGCAGGCGCAGAGCGCAGCAGGGGGGGGCGCGGAAGAGAACGGCGTGGATACGGCGACCGTGTTAATGGACGGTCGATATTGGCAGCAGATGCTGGATCTGTATTTCGTTAGAGATGACGGGAAGAGCCATTCTGCGGGGAAGGGAGGGAAAGGGGGAGACGCGAACGGGGGGGACGGAGAGGAGGGGAGCAGCAGCGGGGAAGGGGCGAAGGGGAAGAAAGCAGATGCGCTGTTTGATGATATGCTGTTCTTTGTTAGACAAGAGGTGCGTTGTTGTGGGTCTGTTGTGGGTCGCGAGTGAGTGAGGGAGGGTGGGAGGCTGCGAAGGGGGGAGGGAGGGAGGGAGGGAGACAGTGAGAAGAGAGAGGAAGCGGGAGGGAAGAGAGAGGGAGGGGGAGGGAGGGGAGAGAGAGGCAGGGGCGAAAGAGGCAGGTGCTAGAAGGCAGGGGAAAGAGAGACAGGGGACTGTGTGCGAGAAGCAGACTATGCTGCTGCTGCTGCTGCTGCTTCACAGCTTCACAGCTTCTTGTGAAGCCTGGTTACCAGGCTACCACAGGATCTCTGTCGGGCTCTGATCGCCGCGAAGCACCAGTATTGACAAAGCCCGACCTCCTTTCAAACTTACTGTTCCCTTTCCTTTTACCCTCCCCTTCTCCCCTCCCATTCTCCCCTCCCGTTCTCCCCTACCCCCCCCCACGCCCCTCTCCCGTCCCTCATCCCTCCCCTGCTCCGCGTCTCCGCGCCGCCACCCTCCTCACATGTGTGCCAATTTGACGATTGTGCATATGCGCGTGCATCCTCCTCACATGGGCGCACGGGAACAGAAATCAACCTTTGGTCACATACTCAACTTCATTGGCTCCCTCATGGTGCGTACTAACTACTACCACCCAGTAGTTTTGACATGTCTAAAACATTAGGCGCACGGGAACAGAAATCAACCTTGTGTAACAGACTCAACTTCATTGGTTCCGTCATGGTGCGTTGCGTTGCGTTCCATTCCACCCACTCCCCACTCTTGAGACGTGTGAGAATTTTCCAAAGAGACTCCACACAGCCAACAACCTGCGCCTGGAATAATTCGATCCGATTAGTGTAGGCAGGAATGGGGGCTGGGTTGGGTTGGGTGGGGGAATGGGGGGAGAAAAAACGGCAAGGGGATGAATTAGCATGCACGGCATCTGTCTGCTGTTGCTAGACGTTTGGTGTTGCAAGCAAGGCTTCTGGTGCGGCAGGGCTTCTCATTTTATCTCCTCATCTTGCCTTCACAACGTTCGTTCTCAGCGTCTCTGCCCCACCCATCCCTCCCTTCTCCCCATCCCCTCCCCTCCCCTGCCGTTTCTCTCCTCCCCGCTTCTTCCCTAATAACTCCCCCCCGTTCCTCCCTTTCTATCCTCCCGCATCTCGCCCCCCTCTGTGCATTGGTCCGGTGCGGTGCGGTGTGGTGTGGTGCGGTGCAGCAAGCGGAGGGGCCTCCGAATGAGGAGGCAGAGAAGGCAAAGCCCTTCTTTGTGCGCCGCTGGGGTCCCGATGTCAGTGCCTCCCGCCCTCCTCTGCTCCCTGCCTGCCTCCCGCCCTCCTCTTGCTCCCTGCCTGCCTCCCGCCCTCCTCTGCTCGTTGCCCCCCTCCTGACTTTTTGTCTCACCTCGCAACTTGTGCCAGTGCCCATTCATTGCTCTACCCTCTCTCTTTGCTGCTTGCCACTTTTCCAGTGCTTTCCCTCGCCTTGCCCTATCAATTACCTCCCTTCTTGCCTACTCGCCTTCTCCCTTCTATTCTCCTTCCCCTTTTCCCTTCCCTCCCTTCCCTCCCGCTCCTCGCTCCCCTCCCTCCCGTCCCTTCCCTCCCTCTCCTCCCTTCCTTCCCTCCCGTCCCTCCCGTCCCCCCCCCCCCTTCCCCTTCTCCCCTCCCTCTCCGCCTTCCTCTTCTCCCTCCTCTCTTTTCCTCCCTCCTCTCATCCCTCCTCCTCCCACTCCCCTTTCCACCCTCTACCCTCTTTCCTACACGTATCTGACCGCATCTCCTCATGGCTGCACGTGCCTTGGCGTGCACGCACAGTTGGCGAAGGTGGTGGGCGAGAGTGCAGACGAGGTGGACTGGCGGCGCTCCTTCTATCTCAACCTCATCTGCCACACAGAGTTCACGCTCACCGTCGCCATCTGCAGGTCAGTCACTTGTCACTCGCACGTCTGCCGCTTGCCACTCGCAGGTTTGCCACTGATAGGTCTGTTTCTGAGCCGCCTCAAAAGCAGACTCCTTCTACCTCAACCTCATCTGCCACACAGAGTTCACGCTCACCATCGCCATCTGCAGGTTTGTCACTTGCCACTCGCAGGTTTGTCACTTGCCACTCGCAGGTTTGTCACTTGCCACTCGCAGGTTTGTCACTTGCCACTCGCATGTTTGTCACTTGCCACTCGCAGGTTTGTCACTTGCCACTCGCAGGTTTGTCACTTGCCACTCGCAGGTTTGTCACTTGCCACTCGCAGGTTTGTCACTTGCCACTCGCAGGTTTGTCACTTGCCACTCGCAGGTTTGTCACTTGCCACTCGCAGGTTTGTCACTTGCCACTCGCAGGTTTGTCACTTGCCACTCGCAGGTTTGTCACTTGCCACTCGCAGTTTTGTCACTTGCCACTCGCAGGTGTGTTGTTGAGCTGCCTCAAAAACAGACTCCTCCTTCCACCTGAACCTCATCTGTCACACAGAGTTCACACTCACCGTCGCCATCTGCAGGTCTGTTGCGCGTGTGAGATGCAATGCAAGCAAGCGAAGCGTGTAGCAGGTGCTTACATGCATGCATTGCATGCGGCAGCTCCATCTACCTCAACAGAAGCACCATCGCTTTGCCTCAAGCGGTTTTCAACTCTCCAGCTTTTTCTGCAACCGCCTCTCTTTCCGATCCCACTCGTGCTCGGCTCCCACTGCTCCTGCTCCTGTTGCTTCTGCCCTCGCTTCTCCTGCTCCCACTGCTCCCTGCTTCTGCTCCTGCACCCACTGCTCCCTGCTTCTGCTCCTGCTCCCTCTGCTCACACTGCTCCCTGCATCTGCTACTCCTCCCCCCAGTCGACAGGACCTGGAGGCGCATCGCAGGTCAAGCAAGGCCCCTGTGCACCCCATATCCAAGGTGGGTTTGGGTTGGGATGTACGCATCATGCCATGGCATGACGTGGCATGGCATGGCATGGCATGGCATGGCTCTCGACTTGGCATGTGGTACATGGTGCACGTGAAGGGACGCGCACGATATTCTTTGCTCTGGACGAGGTTGGGCATGGGCATGGGCATGGGCATGGGCATGGGCATGGGAATGCCTCGTACCATGTCCGCTCATGCCTGTCTCCTTTCCGTGACATGAAGTCTCTGGTTTCATGCCCCCCATGCCCCATGCCCCATGCTCCCATGCTTCCATGCCCCCACGCCCCCATGCCTTCATACCCTGTTGCCCCGTTCTCCACGCCCCACGCCCCACGCCGCCACACCCTCCCCTCTCACACTCCATGTGCAGGCGACGAAGAGGGTGTTTGCATCGCCCAGCAAGGCGCGCATAGACGTGGACACGTCCAAGGCGCAGGAGACGCTGCCCTCCTTTCCCGAGATCTGCTTCGCTGTTGATGACTACGACAACACCTTTGAAGCCGTGGTGAGTGGCTGGCTGACCGCCGGTGTTGTGCGGTGGCATGTGGTGTCGTGCGGTGCCGTGCGGTGGGTTGATGGGTGTTGTGACTGCGAGAGGGAGGGACGCTGCCCTCCTTCCCCGAAATCTGCTTCGCTGTTGACGATTACGACAACACCTTTGAAGCAGTGGTGAGTGGTGTGGCGGTGCCGTGCGTTGCCATGCGGTGGCTCAACATTGGTGCTCAACCCCTTTCCCAGGATCATGCGGGACCATCGTGTCGCTCTCCCATGCCGACCCCTTTCCCCTCGCCCTAATTTTCTGCTGTTCCTCTCCCATCCTTCCTCCTCTTTCCCCCTCCTCCCCCTCCCACCACCCCTCCCCCCCGTCGCCGTTGTCAGGTCTTGGAGGACCCCGATCACTGCTTCTGTGTCATGCTGAATGCACACGGAAGGGCGGCGCTCCCAATCCTCACCCCATTCTTGCCCGTCCGTACCCTCCCCCCCCCTCCTCCTCCCCTCTCCTCCCCCCCCCCCTCCTCTCCCCCCCACGTCGCCAGGTTCTGGAGGACCCCGATCACTGCTTCTGTGTGATGCTAAACGCACATGGCGGCGCGGCGTTCCCTCCAGACGATGTCGTGGAGAAGGTCAACCCGGACGGGTCCCGGCGCTTGTTCCGGCGCGGCACCAGCAGCGAGGCCAAGGCGCTGGGGGAGGCCAAGGACGGACAGCCCAAGGTGTGTGGGTGGGGGGATGCGCGGGTGTGTGTGGGGGTTTGTGGGGTTGTGCAGGGGTGTGGCGGGGTGTGAGAAGGTCAACCCGGACGGGTCCCGGCGCTTGTTCCGGCGCGGCACTAGCAGCGAGGCCAAGGCGCTGGGGGAGGCCAAGGACGGACAGCCCAAGGTGTGTGGGTGGGGGAGTGGGTGTGGGGTTGTGGTTGTGTCTGCGAGGGTGTGTGAGACGACTTCTAGGCGCCTCTCAGTCCCGGCGTGTGTTCCGGCGCGGCTCTAGCAGCGAGGCCAAGGCTCTGGGGGAGGCCAAGGACGGACAGCCCAAGGTGGGTGTTTGTGGGTGGGGATATGAGGGGGGAAGACGTGATAGGGGTAATGGGGGGAAAGGGGAGGGAGGCAGGGATGGGACTGGCGCTTGTTCCGGCGCGGCACCAGCAGCGAGGCCAAGGCACTGGGGGAGGCCAAGGCACTGGGGGATGGGCAGCCCAAGGTGTGTGGGTGCGGGGGTGTGTGTGGGGGTTTGTGGGGTTCTGCAGGGGTGTGAGAAGGTCAATCCGGACGGGTCCCGGCGCTTGTTCCGGCGAGGCACCAGCAGCGAGGCCAAGGCCCTGGGAGAGGCCACGGATGGGCAGCCCAAGGTGGGTGTTTGTTGTGGGTGTGGGGGGTGTGAGGGTGTGTGTGAGGGTGTGTGGGTGTGTGTTCGTGGGGAGGGTGTGTGTGAGGTGAGACGAGTTTTGAGGTTCTTCTCAGTCCCGGCGTGTGTGTTTCGGTGCGGCACCAGCAGCGAGGCCAAGGCACTGCGGTGCGGGGGAGACCACTGACGGGAGGGACTTCCTCCTTGCTCCTTGCTCCTTGCTCCTTGCTCCTTGCTCCTTGCTCCTTGCTCCTTGCATCCAATCCAACCCGTTTTGTCCACGCACCCAACTCACCAACTCCGCGCTTGTAACCGACTCTCTGAATTCTATGCACGGCATGCAACCCTTTTCCTTCACCCCTGCCCTTCCCTTCCCTCTGCATGCCTTCCCCTCTCCGTTAACCCCCTCTCCTTGAACTCCCCTGCCCTCATGCGCCCCCCTTCATACCCCCCTTCAGATCACTCTCTTTTCGGGCTTTGTCAGTTACCCGCTTGTCCGCTCCGCCTTCCAAGGTGCCTCTTGCCTCCTCCCCTCCTCCCCTCCTCCCACCCTCCGAGTGCACGTCTCTGCACCTGCACCTGCACTATACTCTGCTGTCACGTTTCAAGTCGAGTTGTGCTCGTTCGTAACGATCCCCTCCTCTCCCCCTCCCCTCCTCCCCTCCTCCCACCTGCCGTGTGCATCTCTCTAGGCCTGCACCGTGCTCTGGTGTCAGCCCACTGATACTTGACTAAGCCTTTTTTGCCGTTCACCAGCTCCTGCCCGTCCTTGCTCTACCCTGCCCTGCCCTTCCATACAATTACCCTGCCCTGCCCTGCTCTGTGTCATGGGTCCGTTTGTCCGACCATGCAAGGCTTGCCAAGGAGACATTCTTGAAAATTCTCAATAGGAGAAATTATTTTGAGCATCGTTGTGTTGGCTGAGGCGCGCCGTGCCCTCCACCCTCCTCTCCACCCTCCTCTCCATTCATTTCCACCCCTCCCTCCCGTTTCTCCCCTTTGCCCTCCTTTGATCTCCACCTCTTAACGTTGTCGCCTCGTTGCATTTGCCTCGTTGCACCTTCCTTCTCCTCCTCCCACTGCTGCTTCGCACTTCATCCTCGCTTGTCCTTCCTTTCCTTAGTCACCTTCTTTCTTCCCTTCTATCCTCTCTCCTCAAATTCTCTCCCGCTTGCCAAGTTGCCAACCAGTCCCAAACTCTTTCCTCTTCTGCTCCCTCCCCTTATCCTTTTCTCGTTCTACCATCCCTTCCTCCCTCCTCCACGCACCCTCCCCCTTCCCTTTCTTTCCGTCCCTCCCTCCGCTCCCTCCCCATCTGCCTCCCTCCCTTTCTCCCGCGTCTCTGCCACAGGGGGAAGCACGGGGTTCAGCATGTGGGGGCAGGTGCAGCCACCCAAGCCAGAGAAGCTGGTGATGAGAGGGCCAGGCGGGAGAGGGGAGGCGGACGTTGCTGTCTCTCTCGTGCTGCCTGCTCCTGAGGGTGAGTGCGATACTTCTTCTGGAAACGATTTTGAGAGCTCTATGATTAAACTGCTGGTCTGGTCTGCACTATGTGCTTGCAGCCGATTTTTGAATGGGCTATAGAATCTCAGAGGTCTCTGTTCGTTGGAGGCGATTTTGAGAATTCTCAGAAGTCTCTGTGTACTCTGTCTCGCCCTTACCCCCACCGCAGTGCACCCAGAGGAGACCGAGAAGAAGCGAAAGCCCAGGGAGAAGAAGAAGAAGGACGGGGATAACCGCCACCGACCGTCCCTCTCTGGGGCGCCTAAAAAAACCTCTAACTTCAACCTTCTGTGTATTATGTCTCGCCCTTTACCCCCACTGCAGTGCACCCAGAGGAAACTGAGAAAAAGCGAAAGGCGAGGGAGAAGAAGAAGAAGGAAAGGGACAACCGCCACCGACCCTCTCTCTCGGAGCTCCAAGGCAAGCTATGGTCCGTGCAGTCAGAGCTAATGGCTCTTGTGGAGGCCCAGCAGCAGCAGCAGGAAGAGGTGGAGAAGGACAAGGGGAAGGGGAAGGGGAAGGAGGCGGCGGAAGAGGCGGAAGATAGGAAGAGAAAGAAGGAGGAGAATCAGCAGCGGTTGAGAGAGCTTCAGGTGGAGTTGAAATCGGTGCAGGAGCAGCTGCAGAAGCTGGGAGGCGGCGGGGAGAATGCAGGCAGCCCGAAGCATGGGGGGAAGGAGAAGGAGAACAAGGACAAGGAGAGGGATTCGTCGGGAGGAGGAGGAAGCGGGAGTGGTAGCGGTTCCGGGGGCGGCCGTATCTCGGGGTTTTTCAAAAAGGTGACGCAGACACCGCCTAAGCGTACGATGCTTCATGATGATTTGGAAGATGCTGGTTCCCCTGGGGGAGTGACGCCTGCAGGAGGAGGAGGAGCAGGAGGAAGTGCTCTTGCTGGCACCAGCAGTGGTGGCAGCAGCAGCGGTGGTGGTGCTTCTGGTGCTGGTGGTGGGTCATCGGGAGAAGGCAGAGCAGGAGGAGGAGGGAAGGGCAAGGCAGCAGCAGGGGGCGCGCCGGCAGTGCAGCCGCTGCGGTGCTGTCTCATCTCGCTCACTCTCCCGTGGGACCTGCTTGCATTTGACCTCCTTTTCAAGGTGAGCCTATCCTTGAGCCTATCCTTTTTGAGAAACCCAGTATTATTTAAAAAAAAAAACAGCTCCCATCAGTATCGCCATTTCCAGTCTCGCCCTTCTCGAATTGCTCACAAGCTACCTCTTCTTTCATTTCCCTAAACCCCTCACCACTCCCCCACCACCTGCGCGTTCCCCCCCTCCGTTCCCTTCCTCGCCCATCCCCCATCTGCCTGGTGCATGAGAGCAGGAGATGCCGATTAAGATTGACATCGGTGGCCGGGTCTTCCCTCCCATCACTGTCCCTTTCCTTCGTGACCTTTTCCTTCATCTTCCCCCGCCCCACTTTCCCCTTCCCCCCACTTTCCCCCCTCGTCTGCTGCACGTGCACAGGAGATGCCGATCAAGATTGACATTGGTGGTCGGGTCTTCCCTCCCACTCGACCCAGACCCGTGGTTCCCGCTTAGAACCGCTTGCACCCACACACACCCGCCTCCCTCTCCTTCGCCCTCTCCTTCGCCCTCTCCTTCACCCTCTCCTTCGCCCTCTCCTTCGCCCTCTCCTTCGCCCTCTTCTTCGCCCTCTCCCTCTCCCTCTCCCTCTCCCTCTCCCTCTCCCTCTCCCTCTCCCTCTCCCTCTCACTCCCTCCCATCTCCCTCTCCCTCTCCTCCCTCTCCCTCTCCAACTCCACCCCCCTCTCCCTCTCTTTCTCTCACCCACACACTCCCTGCCTGCACATTTCTTCCCTCCTTACCCACACGGCACACAAGCATACCGTTGCTCCATCTCGGCAGCGCATGCCCTCTCCCATTGCTCCATGGCCCAACGTTCCCCTGAAACCGTCTCGTCTCAACGATCGGCTCGGCTCTACAGTGCAGTCGCTGCACACGACTCACGATTGCGGTGCAATCCTTGCGCACAGATAGCGACTGCAATGCAATGCAATCATTTCCCTAGCATCCTGCCTGCCTGCCTTGTTCCATATCCATCTGCCCTCCTTCCTTACCACTGCGCACCCTGCTGCTATTCAGCCCCTCATGCGTAACATACCGGTACCGGTACATCTGATTCTACACTGATTGGAGTGTGATGAGATTGTTTACCCATGCCCGTTGTTTGATGCACCCTTTAGTGCAACATGGTTCCTTTACTTTCTGTGGTGTGATGTGGTGTGGTGGTACCACCGTAAGTGGAGGGGGGAAAGGAGGTGGGGGGGGGGGGGGGGGGGGGGGGGGGGGAAGGGTGCAGTCTCTGCCAGTGTTTTTTTTACAGAACCTTAGGAGGAATAAAGTGTCCATTTTCAGTGTTGTGTTGCTAAAAACCTTAGAAACTTATAGCATCGGGTTTTAATCTCATACGCTGGTGGGATTTATTGAAGCACTACCTTTGATACCGTATGTCAAATGCTAGAAGCCACAAACTTGGGCATCTATGCATAGCATACGCTTTAGGGTGCATTTGTGGAGACCATCATATTATGTCTCAGCTATGAACAATCACTAGATATACTGTAATAATATACATGCGGAAAGCAATTGTTTTGCCATCATAACGAGTACGGTACCCACTGTACAGTGCACAAAACAACAGTGCACCTAGCATGAAAATGACCCGTCACAGCATCTCATCTCCCCTACACGGCCCGTTCCATCTCAAGAATCCCTTCAGCAGCTGGACTGGAACTTGGGTGGCAGGTGGAAGGCCAGGAAGCGATGCAGCAGCCGCTCTGCCACACACATGCCCTCATGCATCACCTGCTCATGCTCTTGCTGCTGCTGCTGCTGCTCTTCCTCTTGGTGCTGCTGCAGCTGGCGGGGAGATGTGTGGAGGGCCTGTGCGAGGAGAGCAACACGTGAAGGCTTCATGTGGCACACCACCACAATGGCACCCTCTATCACCCTCCACGCACCTCCACTGAAAACGCTGTTACTGCTGCTGCTGCTGTCAGTGGTCAACGAGGCTGATCCCTCCCGCTGCTCCAACTGCTTCCGGTCCAGAGCCTTAGCCGCATCCAACCACTCACAAAACCCCCGCATGTCGCCAAACTCCCGCCTCCACTCCTCCACTCCTCCACCACCAATTCCCCCCTGACCAGGACCAAGCCCTCCCCCCCGCCCATCCACACGAGCAGAAGCCGTGCTCCTACCAGCGTACTGGTGGCGTGGAGGCAGGGCGGAGGCCAGGGATGCTGCAGTGTCGGCTCCGTACAGACGGAAATAGTCTTCTAAGTTCGCTGCTACACATGCCGGCCCACCGAATATGTCCACTACCCTGGTGGGATGAGAGGCAGAGGGGGTAGCGGAGAACGGAACGGGGGAGAGAAAAGGGGAGGAGAGAAGGGTGGCAATAAAAAAGGGGTAAGAGGGGGGTCGCATTGCAGGCGGAGTAAATACAGGAGTGGATATGGTCGGATTGCAACCGGGGGTCGCATTGCAACCGGATCAACCGGATAAATACAGGGAGAGGGGGGGCAAGGGGAAGGGGAGTGGGTACGCCAGGAGCGTCCGCGGAGGGTGGGGTTCCAGGGGGGTGCACGGGGGGGAGGGAGGGGGGGGGCAGCAAGGAGGGCGGTGGAGCAGCAGGGAGAGGGGCAGAGAGCAGGGGGAAAGGACACGGGTGGAGCAGGGAGGAGAAGGGCAGAGAGCAGGCACTTGAGTAACAGGTGGACACAGGTGGACACAGGTGGACACAGGTGGACACAGGTGGACAAGGCACTGTTGGCAGGTCAGTACCTGGTGGCTCGGTGCGCCACACAGGGCATGTGCCAGTGGGGGAAGCGGCACACATGCGCGATCCACGCGCAGAAGCGCGGCGACCCCACGTGCTGCCACTCCCCTCCGTCCAGCACGTACGCCGCAGCCGCGTCGTCCAGCCATTGGAGTGGCGGCTCCCCCCGCCGCCCCTCACGCAGCTGGCGTAGGTACCGCCCGCGCACGCCTAGCTTGCGGATCTGCTCCTTCTCTTCCGCTTCCGCCCTCGCCTGTTGCTGCTGCTGCTGCTGCTGCTGCTGCTGCTGCTGCTGCTGCTGCTGCTGCGGTTCGAGAAGCTCCGTGCGTTGCACCTCCGCGCGTTGCTGCTCCGGGGCGCTGACGACGGCGGAGAGGCGCTCGAGGCTATTCACAATGCGCGCGTATTGACCCGGGAAGTCCGCGTCGCCCACTATCGCCTGCCATGGCTTCAGATAGTACTGCCTACCATTCCATTCAAACCACACGCGCGGACCGCCGTCTCTCCCCCCTCCGCCCAGTATCGCGTCCCCACACTCCTCCGCCTCCTCCCCCTCCTCCCCCCCTTGCGCCCCCCCCTCTCCCCAGTTACCGCACCTTCTCCCGCTTTGGTCGCTGCAACCAAGTCCGCGGTTCTCCGGCCTTTCCCCCGAGGTCTCCGCCACACACCACGCGCGTACTTCCGCGCGGAGATCTTCCTGCGCGCGCACAATGTCGCGCACCGTCCCCGCGTCCACGCGCACGGTTCCCCTTCCGCCGCCTCTGCCACCGATTCCTTCCGCACTGGCGCGCGCGGTAGCCGCCTTGAGCAGCCGTTGGCGGCGCCAGAGCGCCACGCGCAGAGAGAGATGCTCCGCCAAGGTGGAGAAAAGCGCGGCGAGGGGCGCAGGGGGAGGCGCAAGGAGGGAGCCCGCGCGGGGAAGCCCGCGTGTCTTCCCCGGGGGAAAAGATTTAGCGGAGTTGGAGGGGTAAGGGGAAGAGGGCGTTTGCGGGGAGACGGGGGAGAGGGAGGAGGGGGAGGAGGACGACGGGGAGGGGGAAGAAGAGGGGGAAGAGGGGGAGGAAGCCTGCGCGGGGGAGAGTGCAGGGGCACTGAAGGGAGTGCGAGAGAGGGGGAAGGGAGGGCGCGGCGTTGACGGCGTGCAAGCAGGGTCGGAGAGTTCAAGAGCGGGGAGGGTCGGGGGAAACTGGCGGAGACTGGCGGAACTCGCGGGGGGTGAGACTGGCGGGGAGGCGCGCGAGGGCGTGGCGAGAGGGACGGCAGGGGGAGGGATGGAGAGCGGGGGAAGGGGGAAGGCGAGCGGGGGATGACACCACTTGGCGGAGGAGTGTTGCGCGCAGTGGAGCGCGGCGGGAATAATTCCATGGCCGTCGTCTGGCGGCGACAGAATCTCCACCAGCAGGTCGCCGTCCAACAGAAATGCGTCGTCAACATCGCCGCCGGCGCCGCCCGCGTCGCCTCTCTCGCCGCCATCCTCTCCCGCAATCTGCGCCTCCGCGCGTTTCGATTCCCCTTCTTCCTCCTCCGCCGACGCCGCTGCCGGTGCTGCAGGTGCTGCCAGTACTGCCGGTACTGCCGGTACGGGTCCTTCCCAACTGCTCCCCGCTGCCGTTTTTCCTCCGCCCACCGCACTCCCGCTCGCACCACTTTCCTCAGGATCCCCTTCAGCGCACACTCCTTGCGGCCTTACCGCCGCGCCTGCTCTTTCCTCCGCTTCGCCCCTTCCTAACACTCCGTAAACATCAACCGCATCACCTTCCGCGTTTCCCGCATCTCCCCTCAGCGCCCGCGGGCCCGTCGCCGCTTCCGCGGGCCGCGTGGAGGGAGCGGGGCTGCGGGGTGCTTCTAACGAGGGGATGGGCGTTGGCGGTCGGAAGAACGGCTGGTGCGGTATTGGGCGGCAGACTGGTGACTGTGAGTCCTGCTGCTGACGTAAACGGAAACCCGTCTCGGCTCCTAAGTTCTGCTCCTGCTCCTGCTGCTGATGCTGCTGCTGCTGGTAATTGTGGTGGTTTTTGTCTCCTTCTTGCTGCGCCTCTAGCTCTGCGCTCCTGCTGCCGCTTTCGCCACTGCCCGCGGATGTCGCCGCGCCAAAGCGCGACCACGAGCGATTGAACCGGGAGCTTCGGCCATGCCGCCCGCTAATGCCGCTGCTATGGTGGCCGCTCTCAATTGGCCCTGAGGAAACCGTCGCATGGTCAGTCGCATGGGCGTCGCCGGGCGACGACGAAGGCGCAGAGGACAAGTCGTCGTCCGCGTCGTCGTCCCGGCAGCAGCAGGGGCAACGACAGGACTTGAGAGCGTCGCGGACGTACTCGCGATGGGATATGGCGGAACGAGCGGATGTGATGCCCAGTGGGTTCGGGGGAAGGCGGGGGGCAGGCCACGCGGCGACGCTCCGAAGGGGCTCCCGTGCTGACCTGAACGCGGTCGAGGTAACGCCGACGTCGCTGTTGCTGGTGGTGCTGCTGCTAGATGGAAGAGTTTCCGCCGTGCCATAGCTTGTCGTGCACTCAGAAAAGGTGGTGAGTCGACTGGAAACATCGGACTCGACGGCGCCACGTTCTACCGGATGAGGTGCTTTGATAGAAGCCGTTGCAGCTGCCATGACTCGCTACAAACGCTTGGTTGAACAGCTCGTCCTAACAAGCAAATGCCTTTTGAGCTTGGCAGTGCGTCATGGGGCCGTGTTTGTGTCGAGTCGAACAAAGCTGGAGTTGAGGGTTTAGGTGCTTATTTTACCATTCGACCTACACTACACGCACAGGTGGGTGGGGTGGAGCAGCATCAACACGGGGGAGAGGAGAGACAGGTCCGTCCGTGGGTGGGGGAAGCGCGGGTCGTTGCGTTGCGATGCGATTGGCAGAGCCAAAACATGTGCGGGCTGGGTGGTTTTCGAGGTTGGATTGCGTTACAAACAGACAAGCGGAGGAAGCTGGCTCGGAAGGATCGCTGCAAATAGTGTATGGACCTTCTCGAAGCACGTGGGAAGAAATGCTAGTAACCCTGCGGTCTCGACGGTAAAATTAGTGGGGTGTGGCAATTAAGCATTTGGGAAGTGACACTTTGTCTCAATGCTCCTTGTTCACCATTGTGCTTGGGGGAATGCATTGAGAAACTGAACCGCTTTAATGCACACAGAAAGGCGAAAATACAGTTAATACGTGCAACCTAACGAGCTAAAAACATCCCAGTTGTAACGACGTGTGATGCTGTCCCATGTGCGGTTCAACAGTGCACATATTATTTTGTTCGAGAAATATCCGCCAGCTGGCTACTGTATAAAAAACCTGAAGCTTACCGACAAAACAAAGTTGAGGACAGCTGTCGTTACCTTCCAGATAAGTGTGGTCGATTCGAATCGCATATGCGATTCGGCACAGCTGGTTCTACTGTACATTCATAGGGGTCTGGACATCTGGGCGTTTTACCCATTCTGGTCTGCTTGTCCGAGTGAGTATATGTCACCACACTGCAAATACAGCAGAATTAAAGCACCACCAAGGCTCCCCTTGACATGGCTGGAGTTCGCCCCTTTTTGCAGTTGAATCGTAAGCGAAACACTACCATGTCCGAAATCGATTCCACTAGCACCATGCTGAAATAGGTGTCGGCCTATCAAGTCATAGGTGACGATAAGAGGGTTTGATTGGAAGTGCTGTCCCACACAATGTGTGTGCCCCCTCACCAGCTCACTATCTATTTGTGTCGAGGCCTCTCGACACCGACTGGCCCACAGTTGGTAGGTTCACGAAATATAGTGTTCGCTAAAAACTCCACAAGTCGGTTCGATATGGGGAAAACATCCCCCTTTTCGGTTTGGTATGCTGCGAATGGCACCCTGCGGTTGCAGGGTGAGCATCTTTCAGAAATCGGATCCTTCAGGGCTCCCCAAAACGAAATTTGTTCCACCGGAAGGATTTTGACCAATCGGGCTAGCGGAAAAGGGATTGGTCAGCCCCACCCAACGGGAGAAGGCGACGACGATCGAGCCATCCGCAGCCTACACCTAGTCCGCGGTATTTTAACCACGTGAACTGTTTTGCTTCAAACACCCTTTGTTCATTTTTGGGTAATGAGATGGGCACCCAGAGACTTCAAGGCTATTGTTTCTTAGCCAAAAGCATTTCCTTTTAAAGAAACTCACACTTAGTGCTCCGAAATAGAGGGCGGATCGGCATTGACCAGGTTTTGACTGCCGTCGCCTCACAAAGGGTATGCTAGATTATACCCTCAATAAAGTTTAAAACTACTCGTATAAAAAAGTTTGACCAAGGAGAAGTACCCTCGCGCGGTTAAGATAGCGGCGGTTAAAATACCGCGGACTAGGTGTAAATGTTGAGCACGGGGGAGTCCACGCGGAACACAGTGTGTGTGTACTCTCAAGTACAATCCACCAGTGCTCTAGTTCAGTCATCGTTTTGCTGGGAATCAAAAGGCACACTACACTACCTATATTGATGTGATACGGTACTTCCTATCATGAAACACTTTGTACTGGACTAGGAACACACGGCATTGGTAGTTCTCATGAAACATAGCATGATACCAGTGGTACAATTATCTCTATGCAGTATAGGCAACATCAAACCCACACAAGCCAGCTCTATAGTTCAAACTCTTGGCGAATCCATCTGGTAATTGTACACGACTTGAAAATGGCACGCAGCACATCTGTTCCAGACCCATGCAACTGCATCAGCATCAACGTCAGCCATAGGACCTAGGAACAGCACAGCACACCCTCTCAGAACTGTGCTTTTGGGGAAACGTCACCTTAGCATGTATCTGAAAAATGTCGTTCATGCAGGCCCCCCTCCCTCACACATCTCATCTCAACTCTCCTCCTGCATACCTTCTGCGTCTTCCTCCACTGCCCTTCCTCTGCGAAAATTCTTCCTGCCCATCTTTCCTCCGCCCATCTTGAACCCTCCCTTAGCTGGCCGTGTCCCAGGCCCCTCCTTATCCCCTGTGGCTGCAGGGCTAGCAGACACGTCCTTGGAAGAATCAACAGCACCATTGGTGCCCGTTCTACCAGCAGTCGCAGAAACAGCAACTGATTCGTTTTCAGAAGCAGCAGCAGCACCACCAGCAGCAGCAGCAGCAGCAGCAGCAGCAGCAGCAGCAGCAATGTCCGCATCAAGAATGGAAGTGGCATCAGCATCATCCAGCATACCAGATGCTGCTATGCCAAGAGGACCTGTCCCCCCACCCCCACCCACATCCCCACCTGCACCAGTAGTATCGCCACTACCAGCAGCAGCAGCGGCAGCAGCAGGAGCAGCGGCAGAAGCAGCTCCGTCAACTTGCATGTCGTCGTGCTTGTCGTGCCTGTCCTTCCGGCCTGCACCAGCCTGCCTCTCCGTGCGCCTCACAAACACAACTCGCTTCGGCAACCCACCTTCAACCCCTACTCCCAGTCCCACTCCTGCCCCTGCTCCCACTCCTGCTCCTCCCCCTGCCCCTGATACTGCTACTCCTGCCTTGCCGCTCACTGTTCCCTCACCTGTCTCACCCCCCCCCCGCACATCTCCACCTCCTCCACCACCAGAGTCCCCCAGTCTGCCTGCTCCCCCTTGCCTCACAGCCATAGTCTGCTGCAGAGCTGCTCTATACTCCCCTATCTCCCCCATCTCCTCATTCCCCCCGTTCCCCCTAATCTCCCCCATCCCCCCAGCACTGGCCCCTTCCCCATGCTCGCCTGCAGGGCCCCCTTCACCCCACCCCCCAGCCCACCAGTCCACCTCATAAGCCGTGTACTTGTGTGGGTTGCGCACGTGGTCTGGCACACGGCTAACACTCCCCCTTCCTCCGCTCCCATTTCCTCCGCGTCCCCCTCGTCCCCTCCCCCCTCCTCCACTCCCCTTCCCGCCCCAACCACTGCCCCCATCACTCGTCCCCTGCTCTGCCTCTCCAGCCGCGCCGCTGCTCCCTGGACCAGATATGCCGACACTCACCGATTCCAACCCCTCTCCACCACTCCTTCCGGGCGTCCCACCCACCACCATTGCACTACCAGGCTCCCTCACTCCACCACCACCTCCATTCCCACCTAACCCCTTGTTTGCTTCCGCCTGCTGCTTCCCTCTTGCAGCCCCTCTGTTTCCCTCCACTGATGTGTCTTCCTGCATGCCCTGAGCGCCCTTGGAACCTTCCTCAGCTCCTTCCATCGCATCTGTAGCATTTAAAGCAACCGCAGCATCTGTAGCATCTGTATCATCTGTAGCAGCTGTAGCATCTGTAGCTGTAGCAGCAGTGGCATCCATTCGTCCACTCCCTGCTGCACCATCCACATCAGCATCAGCAACAACCCCTTGTCCTTGCACACCGCCCCCTCCCCCCTTGGCCATTCCTCCCCCAGGCCCAGCCCCACTAACATTAGCCCGGCTCATCTGCCCACATATCAACCCCAGCAGCCTCTGCCCCACGCCCATCTTCTGCCGCCTCTTCCCCCCCGCCCACGCTCCCCCACCTCCCCACCCACCTCCCCTTCCCCACGCACCTCCATCGTCCTTCGTTCCTTTCCCTCCACACCCCGAACCCATGCCACCGTTCCCTCCCCCCCGCCCCTGCCCCTGCCCCTGCCACCCCATGCGGAATAAGCTCCCTAAGGGGCTCTCGCCTTCCTCTTCCTCCCCACCAACCACTCCTTGGGCGAACCTCACCCTGCGCTGCCTCTGCCTCCGCCCCTCCCTCACCCCATCCATGCCACTCTCCCTCGTGCTACCATCGCCCTCCTTTGCTCCTACTCCTGCTGCTGCTGCTGCTGCTCCTCCTCCTCCTCCTGCTGCTCCTGCTCCTGCTCCTGCTCCTTCTACTGCTGCTCCTGTGGCTCCAATGTCCCGTCCCTGCTTTAAATTGTGGCTGCCTTCCTCCTCGTTATTGCCTGCTCCTCTCTCTGTGTCTGCCCTCGGCCGCTTGCCCAGCTTCAGTATTCCCTTCAATGCTGCGCCCCTGCTGCTGCTACTGACAAGGGCTTTGGACTCAGACGCACTGTCAGCAGGAGAAACAGCAGCAGCAGCAGCAGCCACAGTAGCAGTGGCAGCACCAGCAGCAGCACCAGCAGCAGCACCAGCATCAGCAGCTGCAATGTAGCCTCCCTTCTCCTCCCCTTCCTCGTGCTCCTCCTTACCTTCCACTTCCACCACGCCCTCTCCTTCCTCTCCTGCCTCCACTCCCATCCCTCGCTCCTCTGACTCACCCCCATCCGCCCCTATCATCTCCACAGGAACCACCCCCACGCCATGCCCCTGCAAGCTCGCATCACCCCATTCCTTGTCACCGACTTTGCCTTCTCTTTCACTTTGTTTACCTGGAACAACTCCTTCTCCTTCTCCTTCTCCCTCTTCTCCCTCGCCTGTCACTGCAACCTCAACAACCCCTTCTGTAATCAGCTGTCCTGCAGGTCTCTTCCCCTTGCTCTCCTTTTCCCCCTCGTCCGTTCGTCCTGCCGGCTCTATAGCACCTGCTTCCTTTCCACCACCATCCGCGATTGCACTATCAGCACTAGCAATCACCATCGCAGAAGCAAGGCCACCTTCCCCCTCAGAAGCAGGACCAGTGGCAGCAGCAGCAGCAGCAACAGCAGCAGTCACAGCCGCAGTAGTGGCAGCAGGAGCAGTAGCAGCAGGAGCAGAAGGAGCAGCAGCAGCAGCAGCAGCAGCAGCAGCAGCAGTAGCAGCAGTAGCAATACCTGCACCCACCTCTTCCTCATGCATGTCAACATCACTCACACCCACACCCACTCCTCCACATGCCCTCTCCTCCCCACCACTCTTCTCCCCATCATCATCCTTCCCACCAATATCTTCCAAATCCTTCTCCCACCATCCCCTCCCATCCTCCTCCTTCCCCATACCCTCCCTTCCACCACCATTCCCCCCCCTCTCCTCTCTCATCCCTTCACCATCTCTCCCCCCTCCCTCCTCTCCCTCAACACTCCCAAACTGCCGCGCCTTCCTCCCCCCTGCCCCCCTGCCCCAAAGCCCTGAACCCCAACCCCCCTCCCCCAGGCGGAAATCACTCACAACACCAACGGCAGCACCAGCTCCAACGCTGCCGCTCTCCTTACTCGCACCACCACCACCAGCAGCACCACCACCACCTGCCGTTGTGCCAGCTTTAAAGAGCTCATCGAATGCCTCGTTCCAGCTCTGCCTGCCACGCCACCCCCCTGCACCTGCTGCCCCTGCTGCATCTGTTTCCCCTGCTGTTGCTGCCAAAGCTGCCCCTGCTGCTGCGCCTGCTGCTCCCTGCACAGCCGGTTCGGGTGAGACTCCTGCTGAGGGTCCCGCGCCCTGCTGCTCGCCTTCCCCACCTGCTGCTCCGTCCTGGCCGTCCTTCGCTGCTACTCCCTGCGCTGATGCTCCTGTTCCTCCTGCTTCTGCTCCCCCTCCTGCTACTGCCCCTGCTTCTGCTCCTGCTCCAGCTCCTGTTCCTGCCACTGCTCCTTTCCCGAGTGCCTCAATCTGCGCTCCTCCCAGTCCATGCGACGCCCAGGAGGGTTCCAGCAGGCCCGCAGCAGCGGCCACGGCAGCAGCGCCGGACCCCTGCGCCTGCCGCCAATCCTCCTCCAGCCTCCGCGCTGCACTCTCCACGTCCCCTCGCCCCCGCCTCGTGCCAGCCGCACCCGCCGTAACACCCGCCGCCGCACCTGCCGCTGCACCCGCGGCTGCACCCGCAGAAGCAGGCGCAGCAGCAGCAGGAAGAGCAGCAGCAGTGCCGGCAAGAACAGCGGCAGGAGACGCACCAGAAGCAGCGCCAGCAGCAGAGTCAGCAGCAGCGGCCTCTAGCGCTGCGCCTTGTGATGCCGCTCTGAGATCCTCCCCGGCTCCCATCCGCTGGAAAATCAGCCCCACTCGATCCACATGCTCCTGAAACTCGTTCCGCCAATCCACCCTCTCCCGGCCCAGCCCTCTCCCGCCCCCGCGCCCCCTCCCCTTCCCCCTCACCCCCCTCCCCCGCCCCTTCCCTTTCCCCCTCCCCCTCCCCACTGGCACCAGCGCTCCCGCCGACGCTCCCCCCATCCCCGCACCCCCCGCTCCTCCCGTACCCGCCCCTCCCTTTCCCGCGCCTACCCTCCCATCCCCTTCCAAAACCCTGCCACCGCCCGCCGCCACGTCACCCTCATCCGCTTCCTCGTCAGAAACCTCGCGCTCCAGGTCAGCTTCTCCGCCGCTGCCCCCGCCGCCCCCTCCAAATCCTCCCAATCCCACGGCCTCTGCGAATCGGTCGTAATCGTCCTCCTCCTCCTCCATATCGAGTGTATCGTCCGTGCCCACCCATCGCGCCATATCTTGCGCCTCCTCCGCCGCCCCCATCGTCGCGCGCAGATTCAACTCCCCTCCGCCGCTCCCCCCTCTTGCGCCGCCGCCCCTTCCGCCGATCCAATCCTCGTTGCCTCCTACGTCATTCCAGCCCTCCTCATCCTCCTCCTCCTCCTCGTCTTCTTCATCATCCTCCTCTCCCTTCTCTCCCTCTTCGTCCTCCTCGTGTTTCTCTCCCAACAACCCGCTCCCAAGCAATCGACCTCCCGCCGCCGCTCCCGCCGCCGCCCTCGCTGCGCCTGCCGCCGCGGCTTCCATGAACTCTCGCCTCGCGATCCGCCTCGCCTCCTCCTCCATCTCCTCCTCCTCCTCCTCCTCCTCCTCCTCCTCCTCCTCCTCCTCCTCCTCCTCCTCCTCCTCCTCCTCCTCCTCCTCCTCCTCCTCCTCCTCCTCCTCCTCCTCCTCCTCCTCCTCATCATCCTCGTCACCGTCGGATACCCAACGGCCATACTGATCGATCACGCGGTCGGATGCTGCCGAGTCACCCGCATCGCACTCCGTAATACGAACCATGGTTGCGAAATGTTGCCGAGACGTGTGCTACGTAAGATTCACGTCCGATCGTAACGGTTTCGAGGCGCCTAGAATTACTGACAAACTGGCACACAGGTTTTCAAACACAATCCCGAATTCCTTGAAGCGATTTCCAAATTCCTATGTGGATTTACTGGCCGTAATAGATCGCTTCAGCCAGACGCCATGAGAGACGAAAGTGGTTGTATGAACAGGCGATTAGACGGAGCGCTGGCGAAAGCTGAGCTAGGTTGCGATCTTCTTTGTACTACGGTATGTTATATCGAAATATATATTTGCTTCGTCATTACTTCACACCTAGGAAAATAGAGACAATGCCTACCCAGTTTGTACAACAAAAAAATATTTGTTTACAATCGTCGGAAGATCACTTTAGCAGAAAACGTTGTTATTCTATTTATTGGTGCCCATATGTTCAATTCATTTATTAAAATATATAAACATGTAGTACATGCATGCATCTTTTGTTAGTTTTCTAACCAGATGGTTATCGAATCTTTGAACACTTGGATTTTGGAGCATCTTTGTCTTCTCAAGTTAGACCCTGCTGCCCACCCACCTTTTCCATTCTGGCAATCAACACCACTTCCTATCCGCATAGGCCCTTCTGGCCTGATCACGTATGCTGTTGTCACTCTGGAGATCAAAAGAGGGCAGTGGGAGCGGTCGAGTGCGGTGCTTCCGAGTGGTGTGCGGTTGTACACACTCACCACAGGCATCTGCTCTTTGCCTCTCTCGCTGCTCATACCCCTGAATTGAGATTCAACACCGGAGTCACCAGAATTGTTGAGGGGACGTGTGTCATTAAAGGGGTGTGTGTCGTTGAGGAGGGATGTGTCGTTGAGAGGGTGTTGCAATGCCCCCACGTGAGTGGCATACAGGGTGAAAGGCAGCGCACACGGCCTGTATGCAGGCGCATCAGGCTGCGGCAAGGAACGGGAAGCGGAGGTGGGGGGGAGCGCGGGGTTGGGGGTGGGGATGGGGGCGGGGAGGGGGGGTGTATTGGTTGGTGAAAAGAAAACAGCAGCAAGGGATTCGACCGCTTGACTGTAGACGCACCCACACAGCGCACGCACAGCACACCGCACACACCTGCACCCCGCACACATCCGCACACACCCCTCTCCCCCACACGTTCACAACCCACTCCCAGTCGCACCTCCCAGCGGCGCGTATCAAAGTTGAAGGCGTGGGCGTGCTTGTTCCACCGGTACGACTCAAACGTGCGCTCTGCCCGCTCCAACTCCGACAGCTGCCGCTCCTGCCATGCCATATGCCACGTGGGAGAGACGAGACATACAGCACGTGGGACCCAGTAGACTTACATGCCTGCCGATCTCATCTAGATAGATTAAGTTGGTTTACATGGTCCATGTCTTACACTTGCTGTACCGTTTATTATACTCAATGAGAAGGACCGTGGGAGAGATACGCGGGCGGGAGGTGGAAGGGTCTTCTTTTGAGGCGCCTTACAAACGCTTTCCAAATCCGATAGCAACCACACGTGGGAGAGAGAGATATGGGGGCGGGGAGGTCGAGTGGAGAAGGTGGGGGAGGGAAGGCTGAGGAGTCGGGCACTCCGGGGCAAGCAGCCGCCTTTTGAGGCGCCTCAAAAGAGGTCGAGTGGAGAAGGTGGAGGAGGGAAGGCTGAGGAGTGGGGTACTCCGGGGCAAGCAGTCGCATCACGTTCAGTCTTCCGAGTGGGTGGGGGCGCTGAGAGTGTGAGCTCATTGGCCCCTCTCAAAGCTCCTGCCCAGAGTGTGTACGCACTACGTACCTACTCCTAAGCACTGCAGTGCAGCCCTGTGGTGATATGTCCCACGACTTCTCCCTCACTGCTCCCTCACTGCTCCCTCGCACACTGCTCCCTCACCCACTGCTCCTACTCACCCACCAAAAAAGAGTGGAAGGTACTCCGGAGTGGAAGGTCTTAACGGCAACGCCTCAGGAGATGGCAAATGGTGTCATCTGAAGCTCAGAGCCTATCGTACGTACCCCGGGGTAGATCTTGATTGCGAAGCCCCACGAAATGGCTGCTGTCCAGTTGGCTCTGCAGGCAGAGACACGGGCGCGCGAGAGAGAGGAATATGAGGGAGGGATGAGGGAGGGATGAGGGATGGGTGAGGGATGGACGAGGGATGGGTAGATGGACGAGGGATGGGTGACTGATGGTTGAGGTATGGGTGAGGGAGGATACAAGATGGGTGAGGGAGGGATGAGGGATGGGTGAGGGATGGGTGAGGGATGGGTGAGGGATGGGTGAGGGATGGATGAAGGTTGGATGACGGATAAATGGGGTGATGTCATTATTGGGCGTTTGGTTGAATCCTTTTCGCTCTGCCTCGCCCATTTTTTAGGCGCCTCAAAAGTTGAATCCTTATCGCTCTGCCTCGCCCATTCCGTCTGCGCAGCAACAGCTTGCAGCAGCTTAGCTGCAGCATCGCGAGAATCAGCATCGTTTTCCCCCCCACCCCTCTCCCCGCATCTCCCCCAACCTTTTCCCATCTCACTCCCCTCCCTCTCGCCCTCCCACTCCCTCCACCCCTTCTCCCTCCCCCACCCTCCTTCCCCTCGCTCCTTCCCCACTCACCCGTCCCCACACACTGCCAGCTGTGCAAACCCGACCGGGTCGGGCCTTATCCGCGTTGCCAGCGTGGCAAGCCCCTGGGCCCTGTCTTTGATGCCAGCCTGGCGAAGAATCGGGTCCACTTCGTCAAAGTGGTGGAGGGAGAGGAGGGGCTGCGCCGGGTGCGACATGAGCAGCCCGAAGAGATTGTGGTGCAAGTCGCACTGGTGGAACCCGCGAGCCATGGTAAGTGATACCTGCAAAGGAAGAGGTGGGGTGTGGGGTGAAGGTAAGGAAGGGTGGGAGGGGGATTCGTGGGGAAGGAAGGGGGAAGCGGGAGGGAATGGAGGCAGGAGCGGAGAACAGGGGAGAGAGGTTGAGAGGACGAAGCGTGTAAGTTACATGGAAGGAGAGCAGCGGATGGATGGCGGTGCAGCCACTGCTGACATTTTTACTCGCCAAGGTCAGGACAGGGCTGGGCAAGACAGGACAGTAAAGGACAGGACAGGGCAGGGCAGGCTGAGAAAGTCAAATCCGAGTCCTGGCTATAGGAAGCTGTTTGAGTTGCAAGCTGAGTGCCAAGACAGGAGGATGACTCACTACCATCTCGCCCACGCAAGCATTGTTTCACCCTTGACGCTCACGACGGACACCTACGGTCCAGCGTCAAAACGGTGCGTGAAAACGGTGCGTCAAAACGCTAACGTTTTGACGCAAGACCCACGTTATGACGCTGGACGCTCACTGAATATCGACGGGAATACTCCCTCGCAAAACCCAACTCGACAAGATGACAGCCCCAAACCAACCCAAGCATCTTTCTAACCCCACACCACACCAGATATAGCAAACCCAACCTACTCGCCACCATTTTACCTCCCACGCCCAATTTCAACTCGCAATTTAAAGTTTCTAATTTGCTCGACCAGATTATTATTAGACTTCTTCCTAGATTTTCATGCTTAGCTTACCAACATGTCCTCTACTCCGCCCTATACCAAGCAAGTTGGCGGTGCTAGTGCCTCTGCTGCCTCGACTGTGGCGCCGCGGCAATATACCGTCCCGTTTTTTTTTGCCTTCCGGGATGTTTTTTTCGCCTGCCCGCCCGAGCTTTTTTTAGCGTTCACGGTTTCAGACACCCAGCGTCCAGCGTCCAGCGTCCAGTGTTTTGACGCTTGCGTGCAGGACGCTGGACGCGTCAATTCCATCAAAAGGAGAGCCAAGACAGGAAGAGACTCACTCCGAGCTCGCCCACACAAGCAGCCACGCGCTCGTCGCTCCCCCGCAGCTCCGCGTGCCTCTCCAGGCACGGATCCATGCCGTCCCCCGCACTCAGCGCGCGCGCCAGCGCCGCGGACACGGCGAACCCCGCGCCGCCAAACGCCATGGCGCGATTGAACTCGACGTTCTGCGCGTGCGTCTCGGAGGTGGATCCGAGGTAGAGCAGCGAGCGGTGGTCGTACTGCTGGAGAAAGGCCGCTATGGCGCGCGGGCTGAAGAACGTGTCGTCGTCGCCCATCACGTACCTGAATGGGTGGGGGGGGGGGGGGCGAGGAGAGGAGGAAGACGGAGGAAGGAGGGAGGTTGAGAAGAGGGTGTGTGGGAGGGTGGTGCGCGGTACAGTGCAGTGCAGGGTGGTATTGATGCAGGACGGCTGCTATGGCGCGCGGGCTGAAGAATGTGTCGTCGTTGCCCATCACGTACCTCGTTGGTGCGAGAGCGAGGGAGAGGGAGCGAGAGACTTTAGAGACATCTCAAAAATCATATGCCTCGGTACTCATATGCCGAGATCTGTGACCGGAAGCTCACTATCACTATCGCACGCACCGATTCTCTGACCATCCACTCGTGCAGCGGCTGCAGTCACTGTTTACAATCAGCGGAATGAGACAGACGATGCAAAGAGCGTATGAGCGTGGAAGTGAGGAAGACCAAGGAGTGAGCGAGAGAGTGAGGGAGGGATCGCGTGAGCGGAGACATACCATCGCACGCCTTTCTCCCCGAGTCTGTACGCGTCCATCACGACTCGCGCCATGCGCACATAATCCCGAATCGCCACTCCCCGGTAACTCAGATGCGCCGCGCTGCTGCTCGCCCGCACAGGGGGCGTGCCGCTTATGCCGCACCGGAGCGCCTTGGAAATATTGGCCACGTCATCCATCCACACGTAGCCGCGGAGAGGTTCTTCCGCCAGATGCGGCGCCTCGGAGGCGGAGTCTGAGCCGTTCTCGGGCCGCCACCAGGCGCGTATGTAGCGCACGCGCTTCGAGAAGCTGGCTTTAGATGATGCGATGTTGAAGAGAATATGACGCAGCCCTGTCTCCTCGTCCTCCTCCTCCTCCTCCTCGTCATTCTCCTTCACCTTCTCCTCATCCTGCTGCTGCTGCTGCTGCTGCTGCTGTTGCTCCTTCTCGTCCCACTGTTCTGTCGCAACCTTTGTTGGGACGCGGCCCGCGTTTTCCCGAACCTCCTCACCCTCCGCTTTCCCCCCCCGCTCCTTTTTTATCTGCTCGTCGGAGCCGTTGCGGCGCGCCACGGTGGCGGCATGATCAACCGTTGCCGACGGCTGAGACGCAACCAGTGATGGGCAGGCGGCGCACGATGCTGCTGCTGCAGTAACGTCGCCGCCTCCGCCGCCGCCGCCGCCGCCAGAGTCTTTCTGCTCCGACTTCGTCGCGACGCCGCCGCAACCATCTAAGTCAGACTCCCATGTGTCGTTTACATCATCGCGATTGTAGTTGTAATCGTTGTCAACCCCATAGAGCGTCGCTCGCACCCATTCAAACCACGTAGTAGACCTTTCACTGGTAGTATTACCGCCATTGATGGTCGGTGGGGAAGAGGATTCCAGGCTACCGACTGGAGAAGCGGATGCTACGAAGCTCGCGGCGCGGAGTCGGAGTCGGAGTCGGTCAAATAGGCTCTTTATTTCGGCGTGTGTGTTGAAGGCCGACGTTCTTGCAGGAACGGCGCCACCATGATGCGTGCTCAATACAATGACGCGAAACGGGGGAAACAGCTCGCTATTGATACTACTACTACTGTTACTAGTACCAGTATTCGTTGTCGCAGTTGCATCGAAACTATTATGTAAGTACGACTCGTTGAACCAGGCGCTGAGTACAGCCGGACCAGAGATCACGTCTGAATCGCGAGATGGAAACGACAGAAGTGAGAAGGCGATGAGGAGAACGGCGCCGAGAGCAGCGCAAATGAGCGTCGCGGAGGCGGGGATTAGTAGTAGCGTCCGTGGAACGACGGGGCGCTGCTTCGCACACGGTAACGTCATCACGAATGCTCCCGCCATGGGGAAAACGGTACAGTATCGTAGAGCACCCTCAGCGCCAGGCGGCGTCAAGTATTTTATGTAGCAATGGCGGCAAAATTAGTCGAACATGGCACCCCGTGATGAGCTGGAACTGAGCGTGGAGAGGAGACACTTCTGGTCCGGTATTCAGAAATTTGAAAGAAGAACTGAGGTGCGAATCTGGGAGGTACCGCCACAGCGATCCCTCAGCCACAGAGTTCTGCCGGACATATCTCGCTCTCCTCTCTCGTCTCGCATCTCGCCTCTAGAGCGCCATTCCCGGAGGAGGCCATCCTGAAATTGGAAGATGCTGGAAGGGTGTCCTTCGATTCGAGTCGACGTGTTGTGTTTGTGGACCTCTCTACTAACAATGGCTCGCCTCACATTCTTTGTTTTGAAAGCCGCACCTGCTCTCAGCTATAGGGTAGCATCCAAAACGTGAAGTGCTCTTTTATCTTTGACCGAACCACCTGGGATAGTTTGTCTACAAATCCTCTGGACTCTACCCCGCCCAATATTCCGGGTTTTTCGTATTGTTCAAAAACTCATTGTGGCATTTTTCTGGCATTTCTGTATAGCATACGGAGTGGACGCTTGCTCCCGGCAACAGTAAGTTGTTGATGGTGTTTCGCGACTGCGTTTATTGCACCCTCATTTTGTGTTTGCTCTAAAACCTGCTCGAATCAGGAACTTTTGGGAAATACACTAACTCGTAAGGGAAATGTCTGATGACGTGCTGTTTTGTTCTCGGGTCATTGCTTTGGTAAATTCTGAGCCATCCGTGCGTCTTGTAACAACTTCCTACAAGTCTGCTTTGCCCACCCAAACGGACCCCCCCTCACCTCCCCCAAGCAGGTGTACTGTACACCTGTGCGATGCGAAGGGATGCCAAAGAAGTTGCGGCAGCACTGTAGTACGTACAGTACACAGGGCGGCCGTTGACAATTCTGTCAACGTCCACTTGGGCAGGCACGAGCCTCGATTGGTTCTCTGAGGTCAGAAAGGTGAAGCAATCCCTAGGGCCAATATGTATCACCTACATTCTACAGCGCCGATGCCGGTTTGCGGTTGCAATCCTCGCCGGTACAAAGCTGTCGGCCCGTCGGGCAACGTCCATCCATAAACGACTGGCCGTCAACTGACCCCATCAGGTGAACCCTGAACACCATGTTGTTGC